CCTCCTTTTCTCCCTTTGGGGGGGCGGCGCGAGGGCGCGAAGTTATTCGCGCTTCGCGCTTCGCGGAGCGCGAAGCGCGAAGTTGGGAGCCCGACCTTCGAGGACGATGTTGCAGAGGCCTGCCACGGCGAGGGGACCTGCGGTGGCGACGGAGGGCAGCTGCCGAACGGCACACGCCTAAGATGGCCAGGAGGCTGCCCGAGCCTTTCACGCACCGGGGTTAAGTCGGGCCTGTCCCTCTGCAGGAGGAGTATTCAAAAATAGCAAAACATAGTCAGGGGACGATTTGTCGATTATTTTTTCGATTATTTTTGGGACATTTTTCGAGTATTTTTCATTCTTCGTCCAAAATCTGCCTGCAGGGAGACATGCCCGACCTAATACTGGCGGGGGGGTGGCACGATGACGCGCGCTCGTAGCCCACGTGGCCGCCGAGATTGAAGAACAGCGGCGCGCGGCCCGCGAGCGGGCCGTGCCCAGTCGTCGCGGCGCCCTCTCCGCCAGACCTGGAGCGGGGGAGGAAGACGGGGGGGTGGGCCGCCAGAGGGGGGAGGGTGTCCCCTTCCTCTTCCTCTTCCTCTTCCTCTTCCTCCTCCTCCTCCTCCTTCTCCTCCTTCTCCTCCTCCTCCTCCTCCCTATATCACCTCCCTAATGTATACCCTGTCCCACCCAGACCACCTCGCGATGAAATAATCACGACGGGAGGTTTTTGTTATTGACCAGGAAGGCGAGGGTGGACCAGGAAGCGCGGAGGGGGGAGAGCAGGAGGCGAGGAGGGAGCAGGGATGGCGGCCGAGGAGGCGCAAGCACGGATGCATGCGCGTGGATGAGCGGCGGGCTTCGTCTCCATGCGCGGATCGACGTGCTCCGTCGCCAGATCGGGCGGCGCTGGCTTCATGTTTCCACACGCGCCACATCCACGGATCCTTAATCCATGTCAGCGTGTGCCCGAATGGGAGCAGTGACCAGGCAGCAGGGGGCAGGGATGAGGGAGAGAGCGGGAGGGAAGGAGGAGGGAAGAGGCCCCCTCCCCCTGCGGAGCTGTTTTGGTCCAAGACCCTTTTCGCTCAACCTGGTTCAGGGCAAGCGCTTGGTTTTGCACCCATGGCTTCCTCAAATCGCGCAACTAGGATCGCGCCGAGCGTTTCCCAGCCTGCGGTGAACTCCGCAGTCCCATACATGCAGTCGCTTTTGCAACCAGACAGTCTTTGGCAGCAGCAGTATTGGCAGCATCAGCAGCAGCCTTGGGCAGTCCCACCGCTTGGGCAGCAACAGCCTTGGGCAGCACAGTCGTCCTGGGACGCTCCACAGCAGCACTCTTGGCAAGCAGCAGCGTCCTGGGCAGCCCTGCAGGAGCATTATTATTACTGCCAGTGTTGGGCAGCGGCTGCATCGTGGGCAGTCCCACACCTTGAAACGGTCGATTGGGAAGGAGAACGGGCCACCCCGACGCCCAGCATGATCCGTGCCAAGAGCAGGTCGGAGCGCAGCGGGGGCACGGAAGGCGACGTGCCCGACGAGTTCTCCTCCAGCGCGCGCGGCGCGGCCCCCCATTGCGGGGACTACCAGATGGAGCCGCAGGGCGGGCTGTCGCCCCGCAAGCCGGCAGAGGTCAGGCGATTCCAAGCATGGATCAAGGGGGCGTGGACTAGCGACGGGTGCCGCTTCCATGGGAGATCGCGGATTTCCGCCGCCGAGCGAGGCGGCAGCAGCCGCATTTTGGGGAGGCCACCTCCCCCGATCAATGAATTTGGCGACCGCGCGCCAAATCCATGGATCGCCAATCCACGTTTGCGCGCCCCCGAGGTGGACCCTGGCCTGGCCTCCCGCCTGCGCGTTTGCCTGCTTCTGCTCCTCCTCCTCCTCCTGCTCTTCCTCCTCCTCCCCCTCCTCCTGGATCGCTAATCCATGTTTGCGCGCCCCCGAAGAGGGCGTGAAGTATGATCCCCGCGACCCCAGCTTCGTGCGGCCAGCGACTGAACTCGAGAAGGCCGACGCCGACCTCGCGGTGCTGAGGCGGCAGCTGGCCCGCATGAGGGCCGTGGTGGCCAAGCGCTCCAGGACGGAGCCCTGCAGCCCCGTGGTGTGCGACTACCAGCGCAGGGTGCGGGAGATGGAGTCGGAGCTGGAGGATCGGGTTGTCCCAAAGGGGGGTCCAGCGACAAGGGGGTGGTGCAATAGATTTGGTGCAGCAAATTTTGTGGGGTTGCAGTGCGTTCGGGGCGTGCAATATTACATTCCGGAGCGCAGACGTATTGCTGTATTTTCGCGTGCAGTACATTACTTGCAATACACTGCAATACAATTCCCTGGCGCGCAGTAAGCTTGCAATCCAAGTGCCCCACATCTCTTGCACCACCCCCTTGCAGCGGGACCCCCCTTTGGGGTCACCCGAAGAAGGAGGCGGAGGCGAGGAGAGCGTCCCTCGCAGCCGCCGCCCCTCCCGATCCCGATTTCCAGGCCGTGCCGGACCACAAGCGCAGGGCGAGCTGCTGCTCCTCCACGAGCGCCGAGGGGAGCTCCTGCTCCACGCGCGAGTCCCTGCAGTCCGACTTTGGCGCCGAGGAGGCCTCGGGCGCCCTCTCCGTGGTCATCATGGCGTGAGGGAGCCGCGCGGGCCGGGCGGGTCCGCCTGCGGTCCGATGCGATGCGATTCGGTTCGCTGGCTTGGGCCGCGGTTCCGAGTCGATTCGATCCGGTCCGTTCTCCTCCTCTTCCTCCAGCATCGGCCGGTGCCGGCCGGAGCCTGGCGCGGCGATCCGCTTTTGACTTGACTCGGGGCGGCTGCGCTGGCGATCCGACCCGTTGTTCCGATGCGACTCGGTCTCTCGGCTCGATCCAGCTCATACCTGCCAGGCGCCGCCGCGCTGAGGCCCTGCGGCCAGAGCCTCCGAGCGGTTGGGAGTTCCCGCCGCCCGCGGGGGCGCGGAGGCCGTCGAGCGGTGCGCGGTATGGCTCGGCCGCCACGATATATGCGGGCGCTCGGCGCCTCTCTTCGGGGAGGCTCCTCCTCCTCCTCCTCCTCCTCCTCCTTCTCCTTCTCCTCCTCCTCCTCCTCCTGCTCCTCCTCCTCCTCCTCCTCCTCCTCCTCCTCCCCCTCCTCCTCCTCCTCCTCCTCCTCCTCCTCCTCCTCCTCCTCCTCCTCCTCCTCCTCCTCCTCCTCCTCCTCCAGGGCGGAGCGCTCCGCCGCACGCTCGCGAGGCATATCCCGCGCGAATTGGCGGTTGGCCACGCGTGGCGGCGCGTTGCCCCGCTCTGGAAGTCGGTCCGCCTTGATCCTCTCTCGACGGCTGTACGGGACTGGAAGAGATTTGGCCATTGGGTGTGCTCCCAAGCTCAGCGGCACCGTAACGGGTACTCACTAGCGGGTACTTTGGAATACTGCCGAAAGTTGCTACTCTAGGGCTTCTTCCTGGCATTGCAGCCTTGCCCGCATCGGGGAGGATTGGATTCGCCAGGCCACTGGCCAAAATACCTGTTAGTGGAGTCCCCGGTAGAGGGTGTGCTCGCAAGTCGCGATCCGATGCAGCGTAATGCCAAAGGCAGGCTGGCTGGTGCGTTGTTGCAATTTTTTACGTCAGGGCGGACCAGGCTACAGTGGAAACCCATGCCAAGAGACACCATGCTTGCCTCCGGGGTGCCCTTGGTTTCTTCGCTTTCGATGGTTTTGCGATGGACAACGTGACGTTACCGCACCAAAAGTCAATGGACGTCCTGGGGTCTCAGCAAAATCCACCGTTTCAGGTTCCGGAATCACCTGGAACGGTTCTGGGGTGATTCTGGAAGCTTGACGCTCACCGTTTCCAGTTCCGGAATCACCCTGGAACCGTTCCAGGGTGAAAACCTATCTGGAGCCATTTTGAGCTCTTTACAGAAGGCCTTATTGAGCTCCTTGCAGAAGGCCTTATCGAGCTCCTTACAGAAGGCCTTGTTGAGCTCCTTACAGAAGGCCTTATTGAGCTCCTTGCAGCCGCCAGAAAAGAGCTCCCGACTAAGAGATTTCATTTGGACAATTATAATTTTTGAGGCTCGGGTACACCCCTCCATATCCCCGAGAGCGCAGTTTTGCGCTGGGGGGTGGGGTCCCAGATGGATTTTCACGCTGGAACGGTTCCAGAAGGCCCCTTTTGGCCGTCTGGGGGCCATCTTGGGCCATTCGGGGGCCCCCTTGGAGGCTTTTTGGGCCCTCTTGGAGGGCCTCGTGGGTCGTGCAGGGCGGTCGGCAGCTCGAAAAGGCGGTACCGCCAAAATCGTCCGAAAACCCGAGCGACATCAGTGTTGCGTCTACGGGGCGTCTCGACCTTCTCTGGGAGCCCTCCTGGAGCGTGTTGGGCGCTTCTTGGGCCGTCTGGGGACCAGCGTGGCCCATCTTGGAACGCTCTTGGCCCGAGGCCGCGCTCGGGAGGCCCCCGAGGCCGCGCCCGGGAGTTCCGGCCTACCTTGCTGGGAACTTGCGGGGACCTTGCCGGGCCCTTGCCGGGGACCTTGCCGGGTCCTTGCCGGGGACTTGCCGGGACCTTGCCGGGGTGCTTTCGTCGAGGAACCCCAGTGGCCGCCACGCGCGCGCGAACTAGAAACATTCTGAAACTCTTAGCGGAGATTTTAGCACGCCTCTGGCCCGTTGGGCCAGCGAATTTAAGTTTCCATTTTTTCGGGCCCTTTCAGGAGCCTCTCGTGACCTCCAGGGGGGTTTTTGGGGTCCCCTGGGCCATCTTGGGTTTCTCTTTGGCCGTCCTACGCGCTTTTGGGACCCTTTCGGAGGCCCCTTGAGGCTTTTGTCGGGTCCCCCCTGGCGTCTCCATGAGAATCGCGGATCAGCGGGAGGCGGCGCTCAGAATACCAACTTGCGGGCCAGTTTTTGGACGTCGTGATCCTTTCGAGTAGACAGCAGGCAGAGACAGAATGCAGTCGACAGCATCAACACGATAGAGTAGAAGTCAATGGACAACATCGAAGCAGGAGGCAGCCAACAATTTCACAGCCTTGTGCCCCATGGTATCCAGCGGTTCCTCTTTGCCCCCGCCTCTCGAACAGGGTACGGTTGAGTCTCTTGGCTTGTTGTACTCATTCTGCTTGCCGTTGGCGATCCATATCCGCAGTTACTTCGAGTGCCATACCAGCAGGATGTTTGGTTATATGCAGACAGCTGGTGACTTGACACTCGCAGTTTTTTGTTGGGTAGGGTATTGCAGGGCTGCTTGTGTGCAAGGTGAAGGCCTTTTCCGCCCATCGCCATCCCGCGGCCGCTCTGTTATGAACGGTGACTTGCTGCGCCCGCACATACAGGTGCACTGGTGCACTTTTATCGGCCCACAGGAGGCCGAAGCACCTCCTGAGCAGCGACCCCTGCTCCCACCGCATTTCAAAGGAGCTGCACCCTTTCTGCACTGCCTTGCGCCTCACTGCGGAAGCCGTGAAGCTGGCGCGCCGCGGAGAGCCGTGGTGGCCAACGGGGCTCCGCTTCGCTTCGCTCCGCTCCGACGACGACGACGACGTCGTTTCTCCTGGGCCCCTGCGCGGGCTGCCCGCGAAGATAGCCGTGCTCTTCGCGCCTCGCGCGGTCTGGGCCGGACCGTCGGCCTCGCGCCCCCGGGCGCCTCGCAAAGGGGGGGGAGGGGAAGGGGGAGGGGGAGGAGGAAGGAGGGGGGGAGGGGGGAGGGGGAGGAGAGGGAGGAGGAGGGAGGAGGGAGGGGAGAGGAGGAGGAGGAGGAGAGGAGGGGAGGGGTAGGAGGAGGAGGAGGAGGAGGAGGAGGAGGAGGAGGAGGAGGATGAGGAGGAGGAGGAGGGTAGGAGGAGGGGGGGGAGGAGGAGGAGGAGGAGGAGGAGGAGGAGGTAGGAGGAGGAGGAGGAGGAGGAGGAGGAGGAGGAAGAAGGAGAGGAGGAGGGAGAGGAGAGGATGAGGAGGAGGCGGAGGAGGCGGAGGCGGAGGAGGAGGAGGCGGAGGAGTAGGAGGAGGCGGAGGAGGTGGAGGAGGCGGAGGAAGAGGCGGAGGCGGAGGCGGAGGCGGAGGCGGAGCCGCTAAATGGGGGGGGCAGCGAGGGCTGCAGAAGGGGGGCCCTTCGAGACGAAGCCAGGGCGAGGATGATCTCGGGCGAGGATATGTCGAGAAGCTCTGAGATCCGGCGGCTCTGGAGGATCTCCCGGGCGACGCGGCCTTCTCAGAGCCTTCGGGCACGCTCTGAGAGCGTTCCGGGACGCTGTGCAACGGATTTATCCTCGTCTTTCGGGGGCGGCAAAGAGGGGGGTGATGACTAGGGGGGGGGGGGGTGGATATCATGGCGTGGGCCATGATAGTTCCCCAGATTTCATGGCGCCTCTTTCTGTTTCATTGCGTCCCTTGCCGCCCCCTGGGCCGCGCACATGCCGCTGGCCATGATTTGCTCCCCCCCCCTCTTCGTTGCCCCCCTCTTGGCCGCCCCCGAGCCTTAGGTCCGTCCTGCCCGGGAGGGCCCCCGAAGGGGCTCACCGGGGCCCCAGAGGGGGCCTTCGGGCCCCGAGGCGTGCACCCTGCCCCCCCCGCCCCCCATTGATCTACCGCCCGCCCCCGCGGAAGCGACGCCCGAGGGATCCCCCCCCCGCTGTCCTGCCGAGGAGCCTCCTCGGAGGACCCCCCCCCCGCGGCCGCCGGAGGAGGCATCGCGGGAGCCCTCACCGGGCGCGTTCCAGTACTCGCAAGAAGTGCCTGCTCGCAAGTGTCCGAGGAAAAAGTGTGTCTTCCCTCTCAGGTAATGTGTCGTCGATCCCCGGCGGCGGATCCGGGCCATTTGCGAGTAGCTGCTTTGCGAGTAGTGGAAGGCGTGCGTCTGGGAGCGCGAAGGTATTGCACTTCGCGCACAGCGCGAGGCACATGCTCGGAGGGCCCAGCTTCTCGCGTCTCGGAGTTGGTTGCGGAGGCACTCGACCGTCGCAGCGGACGAGATTTTCCCGCCGATAGACGTGCTAGTCAGTCGGTGTTTCTTTGCAGTGTGCCTAAACTACAGGCGGAGGCGTCCTCTTCTTCCTCCCTCCTTTGTGCTTGGTCTCCCGATCCCCCGTCTATCCGTCTGTCCAGCCCAGCGCGCAGAAATCGTCTTACTCGGCTGCCTTGGTTGTCCTGGCTGGCCGAGAAGCTGCTCAGACTCCGTTTTTGCCAATGGAGTCTGCGGTGGAAGAGGTTGTGGTAGTGGGGGACGGGATGAGGCTTTTACTTGTGTGCACGGTCGTAGTGCTATCCAGCTGCCTGCGGCAAACCCCGCCACCCTGTCAGCACAGCAGAGCAGCAGGACGCAGGTTGGGTTTAAGACCCGCTCCAGTTCAGTGCCTTATTTGAACCAGCGCGGGTCTTACAACGCCCTGCTTGTTCGCGACCTCGTTCTCCTGCTCCTTCTTCCTTCGTCCTCCTTGCCCCTCTTGAAGGCATCTTGGAAGCTTCTTGGGGATTCTTTTAAGCCTCTTGAGGGTCTTTTGGGCCCTCTCGGGGGCCTGTTGGGGGCCCGTCGGGGGTCTCGGTGCCGTCTTGAGCTCCATAGTTTCACAGGTCTCCTGGAGAGACTCGATCGAAACACCTTGGGATCGTTTGGGCAGGTTTTGGGGCAGTTTTGAAGCCCCCTGGGCCGTTGTGGGGGTTCTCAGGCAGTTTCGGGGCTGTCTTTGGGCTGTCTTGCAGCGTTCTTTGGGCCCCGTCTCGAGGGCTTCTCGGCACTCCCTGAATGTTTCCCGAGTCGACCTGACGCCGAAAAGCATCGGAAGCAAAGCACCCGATTTTCCTCAGGCTGCTCAAGAGCCTATTGTGGCCTCGCTGGAGGCCTCTTCGGGCGTCTCTTGTAGGCTTCTTGGAGCTTTCCGGGCATCTCAGGGGCATCCGGCTGCCGAGCCGTGCAGCGGGGGCGCTCCCTAGGAGCAGCTTCTCAAGAGGCGGCCGTGGGCCAGGGCAGAGCAGATCGGAGTAATGAGGAGGAGGAGTAGGAGGAGGAGGAGGAGGAGGAGGAGGAGGAGGAGGAGGAGGAGGAGGAGGACGAGGAGGAGAATGAGGAGGAGGAGGAGGAGGAGGAGGAGGAGGAGGAGGAGGAGGAGGAGGAGGAGGAGGGGCATCTTAGCACGTCGGAGCTCGTTGTGCCGTCTTGAGGCGTCATGTAGCCGTTTTCGGGCGGTCGTTGGCCGTCGGTGGACCTGTCTGGAAGTCGACCATTGAGCTCGTCGGACTGTCTTGGTGGCTTCTTTGGCTCCCTACGAAGGCCTCCCTAGTCTCGGGGGTGGACAGAACCCCCACCCTGACACGTCGATTAGTGAATTGTCCGTTTTCGGTTCTCGAGAGGGCGCCGCGGCCGTCATTTTCCAGGCTTGCGCCTGCCAGGTTTGGGCCCGAGGTCGTTTTCACTAAACCACGTTTTGCTACAAGAGGTTCTGTCCATCCCCGATGAAGGCTTCCCTAGTCGACCTGAAGCCGAAACTCTTCGGAAGTAAACCACATTGATGGCCCGTGGGTTTTTTCGTGTAGTTTCGTCGAGAGAGCCTCGCTGGAGGCCTCTCTGTGCGTGTCTCGGAGGCTTCTTGGGGGCATTTTGGGTTAGTCTTGGAGCCTGTGGGGGCTCGTTGGGCATTCTCTGTGTGCTCTAGGGGCGGCTCTGCAGCCGTTTTCGCGATGTCTTTAGCTCTTCGTCTGGAGGCCGAAAGGGGCGTCGGACAGAAACATCACATGTGTGTGTGTGTGTCAACAACGTTCGTTTGCAATCACCTTTAGCACACCCCGCGTCTCTCTTCGCTGAGTGAAGCAAACAAGGTGTGCGTGCGTGCGTGCGTGCGTGCGTGCGTGCGTGCGTGCGTGCGTGCGTGTGTGTGTGTGTGTGTGTGTGTGTGTGTGTGTGTGTGTGTGTGTGTGTGTGTGTGTGTGTTTGAGGTGGGTTGCGACAAGGGGGGTACTTTTTGAGGTGGGTTGCGACGACTGGTTTTGGTTCGGCCCCAGAAAACATAGAAGAAACCCTAGCAGGCAACACACTTACATCTTAACACGCCCGCACCTGCCGAAAGTACGGTGGCGCATCTATGAGCCCTGGCGCGCCCCCATGCTGGCGAGGATTGGCTTGGTTCTTGGATGGGGGTAACTGGGCCTGCATCTGGAGACCACAGGTTTTGGCTATACCGCTTGGCAGTATCGCTTCTGTAGTATCGCTTCTGGCGTGGAGCGCCCTGCTACATACATGGAGTAGGTCCTGTTCTGTCCTCTCCTCCTCCTCTTCCTTCTCGATGAGGCTCATGTGGTCTTGAGGGGCTCTCGTGGGGGCCTGTCTGGGATGTCTTCGGTAGCAAATCATGGGAGTATTTTGTACCTCGTAATTCTGTCTTTAGCGTCGATTGACGTCGATTGGCGCCTGGGAGTCACGAGATGGCGCCGATTTAGCGTCGCTTAGTGTCTATTAGCGTCAGCGTCGACTAGCGTCGACTCGCAAGAGCCGTTAAGATGGTATGGGAGTCTCCCATGAGTTGCCACCGAAGATGTCGTGGGGCTGTCTTGGGCTCCTATGGGGCCCTGTTCGGTCCCTGTTGGAACCATTGTGGGCTGTCTTGGTGCCGTCTTGGGCTGTGTTCAGCCCTCTCGGCCTTCTTGGGAGTCTCTTGGGGCTGTCTGTTGGGGCTTGGCTCCTCCGTCAGTCGGAACAATAGGAGTAAAAGGGGTAGCGAAGGGGTGGAGGGCGTACCAGCTTCGATCGGATTCACGTTGCCTTTGGCCGCGTGGATGCAGAGGCGAAGCGAAGTACTGTTTCTATTAGCACCCCTCTCTCCTACCTCCTGGGCTCCCACTTCAGGGGTGCTGCAGCCCAGAGCCGCTTCTGCACCGCAGGTTGCAAATGTATATCCTTCGGATTTGTCGCCGCCGCTTTCTCCAGCAGGTCTTTCACCACCTACTTGCCACACGCATTTGAGCCACACCGAGTCCACTGTCTGTGGCTGGTTTAGCTTCGGACAGTGCGTCGCTTCGGACGGCTTGTGCCAGCTTGTCGGGTGGAGCTTCGCTCTTCGCAGGCTACACAGCGATAGTGTTGGAGGCACCGTGAACCTTCAGCCTACCCGCTTTCCTGACTACTTGGCAACCTGGAATCGGCGGCGAGCGCGGGGGGAAGTGAGAAGGGGCGGGCCTTCTCAGAAGGCCAGGAAGTCCCCCGGTCTTCTGAGAAGTTTTCTGAGCCTTCCCCGAAGACGCAGAAACAACTCAGAAGGTGCGAGGGCTTGTGAGAAGTCCAGCCGCCTTCTGAGAGAAGGCCTTCTCCTACTCATTTCCCCCCCTCGCTCGCCGCCGATATTTGGTCGCCTGGAGAGGGCGTGGTGGACCTTGGCATCGCTGCTGGTGGCGTTCCAGCAAAAACAGCATCCTCCGTCCTCGCTCCTCTGTTTCCCCGATGGCCCCCCAGCCCGCGCCTCGCCCCGCAGCTCTTCTTCGGGCCTGTGCCAAGCCCAGCCCGAGGACGAGGCATGATCAAGTACCTGCCCCCAGCCCCTCCCTCAGGAGGAGGAAAAGGTACCCATACCGCTACCCTTCGCGCTCGTTTTCTCCTTTTTTCGGTTTCCTGGGAGGCCCTCGTCGCCACCGCTGGGTTCGCCTCGAGATTCTGGTCAGGACGCACCCTGGGAGAGGTCCGGGGAGCAGCGGTGCCGGTACCTGTTTGGTTTCCCCACCCTCCCTAATTCGGGGGCCCCCCAAAGGGGGTGGTGACCACACCGTGTGGTGAGTCGGTGGGGATTCGGGGTAACCGCGCGGTTTTTGGGACTCGGGTCGTTCTCCGAGGACGTCTCGGGCGACTGGGGCCTCCGAGGTCCCAAGACCGTGCGGTGACGGAGAGCGCGGTGAGGTCTTGGGGGATTTCAAGGTCACCGCACGGTCTGTCACCGCCCCGTTTCGGGACTCCAAACTCGTTCCATCCGTCCCCTCCCCCTTCTTTCCCTCAGTCCTTCGCCTCCTCCCTTTTTCGCTCCCTGCTTCCGTCTCAAGCCTCGTCCCTCCAATAGCGTCCCAAGGTGGACAGTGACCTCTCCTCTCCCCCGATCCCGTCCGAGCGGGTCCCGCTTCTGCCGCACGCTGTGCTTCAGCGTGCACGGTTCCACAATTTTTGTAGTTTGGTTGGTTGGTTGTTTATTTGTTTGTTTGTTTGTTTGTTTGCTTGTTTGAAGTATGGTGTTATGCACACATATACACATATGGGATCGGATCGACGTGCGCCTGCTGCAGCGTTGGCCTCATTCTTAGGCTTCGCGCTCTGCTCCCAGCAGCTTGGGGGCGATCTTGGCCCTCGCGGGGACGAGGGTTCCAGACCCAGGGGCGGGGGTAAGGGGGGTTGAGGCAACCCCCTCCCCGAAGGGGAACAGGGAGGTTGGAAGAAGGGCTGTGCTCCGAGGGCTGGCGGGATGGGGCTCACCACGGAGCGTGGCACATAAACGCTGAGCTACGCGCTCAAAGCATGCCCTCTCTGTGATCGTGCTGCGTCCGCACGGTCCGACGACGACCTCAGCAGTGTGGCCAGGGCTGCGCCTGTACTTCCATGCGATGTGCTATGCATTTTTATCATGATCGGGGGGCTCATCAAGGGGGTTGTCCCGTCACATAAGCGGTCAGCAGGGATTGCCAGGATAATCTCGGCACCACTGCCTTCTTGACCGCTATTTCTTCACCGATATCGCCTGACCACAATGTTTCTCCATCACTTCGCTCACTCTGCTGGCCCAGGCTGCCCCGTCTCGGGCGTTTGCCCGCGTGTTCCTTGCCATTGCAGCGCTGATGGGTGGTGGTAGTTCTCCTCTAGAGGAGTTGCGTGAGCAGTCATGGACGTTAAGCAGTTGCCCAGGAGCTTGTCTTGGGGAGCTGCTTGGGGGCCTCTGAAGGGTTGTTGGGACAGTCATGGGTCCCCATGATGCTTGCTGGGGCTGTGTCGGCGGCATCTTGGGGCCAGAATGCTGGCCCTCTCTGTATCTACGAACCTTCGGCCAAACCCAAACCACATTCAACGGAGGTTAAAGAGGAGCATCGCGAGCAGTGTGCCTACGTCCGCCGCCGTGTGTATCTCAATCGGCGCGCCATTATAATATGACTTCCTTGTTCTCGAGGTACTATCGCACTTGAGCAACGGCAAAGGAGTCTATCCTGATCCTTCGATGGTGACCCTCCGATCCTATCCCTTATCTTTCGACTACCTGCTATGATAAGCTATGTGGTACCATCGTACGCTTCCGGCGTAATGTTATGGTACGGCTTATCGTATCCGTTCCGAGTTGGTAGCGGAGCTGGCCTCGTTTTCATGTGGCTGACTCTAACACTGGTATCCGCGGCACAGAGACTACTTCGATGGCGGCATATCCAATTGCGCCAGCATTCCTTCGGGAATCAGAGCCAGGAAATTGGCCTACACGTGATCTCATAACAACCGACGGCTTCGTCGGCCTACACGTGTATACCACGGCGCTCCTCAGCCACTACGCTCCGACCCACCATCAAGCAATTTGCAAGTCACTATCCTACTCCGTCTCTTCGAGTTGGCAATCGACCACAGCGCGGCCACCAACATGAAACCTATACCTATCCGAAATCCGACGGCCACGTCAGCCCACAAACACGGCAATCTGACGGCTACGTCAACCCACCCACCAACTCGACGATTAAGGCACCACCAACACCAACACGTCCATGCACTACATTAGCGTTACTATCTTTTGTTTCATATGGTTGTGTCGTGGTGAAGCACAGGGGTACATGCAACGAGGAATGGGCGACACGCGTACCAGGGCCCCCCACTGGCGGTTTGCTGGCGACGTACCGTTCCACGAATTCGTTCGCGATGTGCACGCGTGTCTCAACGTAACAAGTGGAATTGTGACTCCACCGCAATGAGCTGCTGGTTTGCAGCGAGGCCCTCGCTATGATCGCACCGTCCTCGAGCACCAACTACGCCGTAAACTTATTGGGTCAACGCACCGACGGTGTTACATACATCGTGCCCTTCCTCAGCACTATATTGGGGAATGTCGGGGACGAGCGGATGCTCGCATCAAGAACAGACCTCGTCGACTTGTGGGTCGATCGAGGTGAACGCATCGAGTCGGTATTCGCCCGATTCGAAATGGCCAGACTGGAAGCGGATTCTGCTGGATAAACATCCCGAATTTTCAGATACTGACGTTCCTGCTGTTTCGAGCTCTGGTCGTAGGCGTCTCCCGAGCCTCGCAACCGTTACAACCCCTCAACCACCAGCACGCCTGGCAATATCTGGGGCGACCAGGAGCCAGACGAATCCACAACGCTCCTAGGCCAAGAAACTGGCTACGCACAAGCAGCCGACCCACCAACAACTGGTCTGCTGCAGCTGCAGCCAGTCGTTCACCATCATATGTGCCTACCCTTTGGGGTTCAGCAGGCCAACGCCTTGACTCAACCTCCGATTCAGGAATCGACGTGGACACCTGCTCATCCACTGGTGTTGCTGAAATCGGTTGGTCTGACTTACCTGCTGGCGACGGTCAAGCAGCACAATATATAGATTCCTAGGTTCTTCTTCGTGCTAAACTCAGTTGGAGGTGGGAAACGTAAAGAAGTCCGTTCGGATATTCAGACGAGTCGTCCGACGGGCATTCCATCGTAAGGGTAAGGGGCGCGGCAGTGTGGTCAGCGTTCTCGCAGGCTACATGGACGGGGGATCACCACATTCCGATCCAACCCCGCTGATCATGACTCGGGGGAACCATGTTTCGGTGGACACATACGGGTAACGGTCGTGTACGTACCACCAGGACAGATTATGGGCGCAAGCTGAACGCCATGGAGAAACATGACCAGGACATGAACAGTTGGCTCGCAAACGTGTGTCTGCTGAGGCCTTCTTGCAGGTTTGCAGTCACGGCTGTAGGCCTCCGTCGTCCCGCCTCACAGTCGCCGCCCACCGTGACGCCGACCAGGAAGGGATCGATGCAGAGGAGCGCTGGCGACGGCTGGGTAACCATCACGCTGATGTACCAGCTAGACTGGCCATGATCATGCATCCCTCGGCCTTTGTGCTGCTGGGGGCAGTTGGCAAGGTAATCAAGCGCGCCCGTCAGACGATTCGCATCGCGGCGAATGTCCTGCACCTGTGGCCAGACGCGGACCTGTCGGCGGCTGAGAGAGTGCAGCGCTTGCCAGCCTCGGCCGCCACCAAGGCCACGTGTGGGACAGCTAGAGGGGCAGCAAGAGGTGCAGCCACTTTTTGCGAAGTCGTCGTGCTCTCGAGACGCCGTCTCCAAGCTCCTGCTCCAGGGACTCGCGTCTGCGCGCTTCTCGCCAGGATGCGCTTGCACCTTCTAGTGTAGCTTTCTTTGCTCTGATGAGCCCCCCCCTCTTCACTTGTGCCCGTTGCGAGTGCTGCACTGGCGGTAGTGAAGTTCGGGGCTTGGCAAGAAGTGTGTGCCCCCGCAGCCGTGCTGTTGCAAAATGCGGATTGGCTATTTCGGAAGGGCCCGCATCCAATCTAATAAGCAGCGTCGAGCTGGCGTCGAAGTTGCCAGCCAGAATTTGGCCGAGTACGAGTGTTTCAATTAAATCTTTCCCCGTCGCTGCCGACGAGTTGCCTGTCAGTTCTTCGGCCCTTCTGTGTGTGAAGTCCGCTCGCTTCCCTATTGCATCCCTTCCGCCGCTGTGCTGGCGCAGGTATTGGTAAACTGAACTTGGCGCACTGCTCGCTGCGCAGCGCCCAGAAAAACAAAACCTCTACCAACGGGCCCCATGCAGGAACGGCCCCTCGGCCGTCTCCCTGTATGCACAGGCTATCAGCCTTCTCTTAACCGCTCTTTGCTGTTGCAATTCGCGTCATCTTGGAGTCCGCCGCTTGGCGCCACAACCTCGTTGTGCTGCCTTCAAGCGCGTTCTCCTCGACGGCGTATAGTAGCAATGGCATCATGGCGAGGGCACGAGCAACTGTGATACCCTTTTCCCCCCTCTCAGGTGACGGCAGTGCTGCGTCTCTCGCGGCGACCTCGGGGAACTTTCACTTGATTCTCCGATGTCTTCGCCGCTCCCCTCGAGCGCCACGACCCTCGCGACAACGGCCCGATTCGCCTCCCGCGGAGCCTGATGCATCCCACCCGTCGGTGGCTACACCCGCAGTTGTCGCGTCTGTCGTCGGGGCCGACCCTGGCTTCACTACGCCTACTGCCTCACCACTCACTTTCGCTGACACCAGCGTCGGTGGACGCACCCGCAGCGGCCGCTGCACCGCGAGCGTGTCTCCTGACGTTGCTCTCGCGCGTAGCCGCCGCTGGGCCAATGTTCCGTCGCCTGCAAACGTCTCCGTCTCAGCATATGTGCGGGTCATAGAGAATCGCGCTGGTCGGACGTCTCAGCG